CCTTGAAGGCTACCTCCTTGTCCTTAACGCTCCCTACGTATTAGGCCGCTGCCTATATCTTAAGATAGCCTTAGAGGACTAGAAACTCTTCCTTATAGTAGAAGGGGATCTACGCATGCGTTAGTAACTAGAACCCTAGCAGTGTTAGACATATATTATATAGGATTACACTTCTTATTACGCGAGGTGTAATATTTACATTTCTTTAATCCTAGGGATTAGAAGGAGAACAACACACGCTGCCTATAGGCGAGCGCACGCGTGGCCTAAAGGCAGATAACGCAGAAGGCCTCTAAAGAGGCTCTAGGGGGGGGCCAAAGAGGCATAGTGCGTGTGCGTGTGCGTGTGCGTGTATGTATGTGTGTGTGTTTATGTATGTGCGTGTGCTTGCCTATAACAGTTAGCAGGCTAGCTAGGACATTAATTTACTAGAGGGCGCGACAATATATACTAGTAGTAAGTAGTAGAATAGCTAAGGAAATTAAAAACCCTATGTATAGCAACAATATATATATATAAGTAGCTAATTAGGTTGCTATAGCTAACGAAATTGCTATTAACATATAACTATTAGCTAGGAGCTAGGTATATAACAATAACAAGCAGTTACTAACTTAGGTTAACGTTACACATTATAAAGATATCTCTATAGGCAACAACACCTTATTTATAGTCACCTACATAGATTCTTTTTAGGGAAGTAAACAAAGACTATATTCTCTCTAAATTAGCTCTAAAGACTATCCTAACTAACTCTAATAAGGGACTATTAGCCTATAAGAAGGGGGGTAGTGTAACAAGGTAACAACCTTATTCTAGGCTAAGTCCTGCTAACCTCTAATTAGGGGTCTGCTAATTTCCCTTTAGGTCTAAACGTGTCCTGCATTAGGCCCAAACGCGTACCGTATCGAGTCCGACCCCTGCCCCTAGCTATACCCCTATTCCCTCATGTATATAGTCCCCTTCCTCTCTATAGCTAGCTTAGTAGTTTTTCTATATCCTTTCGTACAAGGCCTATAGGTGTTAATGGAATTCCTAGGTTCCTGAGTCCCCACGCACTCCTATATGCCTCTGAGTAGATTCCCACCGCATTCGGACCCATTGTCGTGCCTGCGCCGTTATAGTACCTACATATAACATAGAGAAATGTAGCCTATGCCTATTGCTAAGGCACCCTAAGATAACATTTTAATAGATTTTATTATAGGACTACCTGCTTTAGAGGACCCTATAACAAGAATTACATATAACGCTATACTAGTTATAGTTAACATATTCACTAAGTATATTAAGCTAGTACTATTCTATAACAACTACATAGCTATATAGTTAGGACACGTTATACTAGATTAACTTATATAACACTATAGCATGCTATAATTAATTATTAGTAACAGAGACAAGCTCTTTATATTAAACTATTAGATAATATTAATTGCTATAATTAGAACAAAGAGAAAACTATCTATAGCTTACTATCTATAGACAGACAGACAAATAGAGAGGACAAATTAAACTCTTAAAGCCTATTTAAGGATATATGTCAATTAGAACTAGGATAACTAGGTATTGCTACTACCTATAGCATAGCTAGCATATAACAACAAACTTTTAGAAGCAACAGGACAAACGCCTTACTTTGCGAATAACAGAAAACACCTAAATCTCTTTAAACAAACGCTACTAAGCATTAAAACATAAGCTGCTATAAAAACTATAGAGGAATTAAAGTTAGTATATAACTAGCTATAACTTAACCTTAAGAATGCTTAACGTAAAAGCATTTTTGTAACGGGGACGTTGGCGCTACAGGCAAAAACTGTGGCAGGTCGTGTGCGCTGTGCCCTGCACCCCGCACCTCGCACGGGCTGAGTCGGATGTGAGCCAAACGTAGGCAGCGCGCGATACAAGCTCATTCCTATATAATGGGTTGCGGGCCTGGAACTGGCGTTACCGTCAGCATTCAATGTACTTTTTGGCTATATAGCGCAGTGGGAGCCCGCGCTGTTACAATTATGCTAACGGTAACACCTTGGCCAGAGGCACGGGTTCGAGTCCCACTCTCGCCAGGGTACAGCCAAGCAATATGTGTGGGGTCACATATATGACGCATGCGCGTACGCTGCTAGGGTATAGCCTATTATTCTACTTAGTAAGAAGGCAGGTTTTCACATGCGTGAGGACACGCATTCTGAAGGAGAGGGGATAATTGTAACGGGGACGTTGGCGCTACTCGCGGCACCCACTACTAAGCTTCGCTTAGTAGTGGTACTGGGCTCAATGCAAACACTAGGCTTAGTGTAACTTTTGCTAATACTTTTTAAATAACCTTAATTATCTCTATAACTATAACTAACAACTACTAAAAAGAGGAGGCTAGGATTAAGATTGCTATCTAGCATCTCTCTATAAAAACCTTATATAATTTAGCTAAGGTAGCGCGGATGTATAATGTTAATTACTACAAGCTGCGCCAACGCGTCGCAGGCCGTGGATTGAAAACCACGCGCCTACCCACTAACTAGCAATTAAATCCTGCTCAATTAAAGGCGCTTAAGCTGTACATTAATTGCCTTAATTAACTTAGCTAACCTCTATTAATATTAATATAGCGCGCTGCTGCTGAGTTAATTTGCTGTTTAACTACTCCGCCTAAGGAATACGCGCGCCTGCAGCTACTTAGCTATGACTTCTTTAAACGCTATCTACAAGCTAACCTACGCGTTAAAAAGGTGTAACAAAAGCCTTAAGAGCCTAAGAGGCTAGGTGCGTAGCAGAGAGATATCCTGCTTAAGCACTTTAACGACCTGCGTGTAGTTATAGCTAGCAAGAGCATACAGAGCACTAATATCTAGAACTTTAACGAAGTTAGCTTTAGGATAGGGATTAGAGGCGCGCAGGACGTCGTAACGCTGCAGAGCTTTAAAGTAGCTAAATCACCTTTAGAGACAAATCGTGATTTTATTAGCATGGGAGAGGCCATTAACGCTGCTAGCGATATAATTCCGCCTCTGTGCATCCTTAAAGGCACTGCAATCCTACACTACTACGTCTCTACAGCGCTTGACCTTGACACCTTAATGCTGCTTAGTATTTTAGAATTAGGCTACTCTAACAATTAACTTGCTCTTGATTACCTCAAGCACTTTATTAAATATACTAACAGGCGTAGGCGTGGCGTGTGGCGGCTGCTTATCTTTAATAGCTATGGATCTCACCTTATCTACAAATTTATTATAATGTGCTAGGATAACAAAATATAGCTATATGGCCTACTACCTTATAGCTCTTATATACTATAGCCTCTTAACGTAGTAGTATTTTAGCTATATAAATACTACTATAAGAAGCGCGTAGAGATAGCAGTGCGCATAGGCTATAACAACTTTAACTATATTAAGTTTCTACACTGTATTAAGGATATAAGGAAGGACGCCTTTAAGAGCTTAACTATCCGCTTGGCCTTTAAGAAGTCAGGCATCTAGCCACTTAACGCGTTAGTTGTGCTTAACAAGCTACCTACAATTGACAGTCGCGCGCGCGCTACTTCTCCGCTATCTGCTATAGCGTCTGAGCTAGGGACTCCTCCTACGCCTACTACAGCTCTCTAGGTTGAGCTCTTCACGCGCAAGCACCTACAGGGCGTTAATTAGGAGACTAGAGAGTATGGCCTACTCCATAGTCGCGTTATAAAGCTCTTGCGTGGTGTAGTTGCAATTGCAGCAGCTAAGGAGAAATACAAGGACGATTTAAAGGGCCTTATAGTTACTGCAAAGCAGCGCGCAAAGCGTTAACGCAAGGATGGCCGTCACGTATAAACAGGAGGGACTATCTATATATTAGACGCACGCCTTAGAGTAGCTACTAAAGACTCTATCTAGAAGAAAAAGGAGGAGAGAGCTGCTGCAAGGGCAGCTAAGAAGGCGCTCAAGGAAGCAGAAGCTTGAGAGGCCTCACCACTAACCTCCTCTAACGAATCTAACCTAGAGATATAAAGCTTAGCTTACTATTTTATAATCTAATATTAACTAAAATTAATAAAATTCACGTTTTAGGTGCTGCCTGCTATAAAATATTAAACTCCTTAGCAAAAGTTGCACTGAGCCTGGTGTTTGCATTGAGCCCGGTACCACTACTAAGCTTCGCTTAGTAGTGGGTGCCGCGAGTACGGGCAAAAACCGTGGCAGGTCGTGTGCGCTGTGCCCTGCACCCCGCACCTCGCACGGGCTGAGCCGGATGTGAGCCAAACGTAGGCAGCGCGCGATACAAGCTTATTCCTATATAATGGGTTGCGGGCCTGGAACTGGCGTTACCGTCAGCATTCAATGTACTTTTTGGCTGTATAGCGCAGTGGGAGCCCGCGCTGTTATAATTTTATATGTTAACAAAAAACAAAAAATAGCACCTTAGCTAAAAGAGAGAGATAGAGTTTACCTACTTATAAAAAACTTACGCATAAAATAACTAAGCAAGGAATTAGATTATGTTAAGGTTAGACTATTTTTAATTAAGTCTAGAAAAGGACTAGTTAATTACTAACTCTAACTTCTACTAGATATAAAAGTACACCTTATATTCTATATATCTCTACTAGAACTAGCAAACCCTAAAACGCTATTATAAACAACATTCTAATACTAAACTAAAAAGGAAGACAAGTTTAAAGTTAAAAGAATTATTAACTACTAATAAACTAGACAAGGAGGTTATAATAGACTAGAATACCTAGTTAAATAGAAAGGTTACTCTATAAGCAAGAACACCTAGGAACCTGTTACTAACCTTAGGAACTGCTAGGATGCCCTATAGCATTACTACTAGCAATAGAAGAGGTATCTGCTAAGTATAAGAGAGCATTAGCATCCTATACACTATATCTAGAAAACTATCTATTAAACTCTAAGTAAAAGGCGATAATGCTAATACACTAAAAGAAGACGGCACGGCCTCTTGTTGTTCTAACAAAGAGAGCAACGCTTCTTCTACTAATATTGCCTCTGCCACCCTTTTAGCATTCTCACGTAAAGACTTTTTAACCTTAGCCTTTTCTTTTTCTAGAGCCTCTAGATAACTCTATAGACGCTCCTTATCTTTATAAATTAACACCTATTTGCTTTCTAGAATATAGATATTATAATCTTATAAGTTCTTTTAGTTACACTTGCTAGGGCTTCGAAATCGAACTCTGCACCTCCACGTGGTGAAGCCTAGGAACCTGACTCTTACAGAGATCAGAGCTAGCGCAGAGACGTCGCGTTAATAGTGGTGTAGTAGGTAACGCTGCTCTATAGTAAGACAGTGTAGAGTTTTTACACTAGCGCTACTACAAACAACACCTATAACAGTTAGAAAAACAGTTTATAAACTCTATTAACATAAAGGACTATCCTTAACTACCTAATAGCAACAATATAACAACATAGCAAAACGCCTTATCTCCTACACCCTTAGGCAGACAAAACAGCAGCAGATATGTAACGGACAGACGCTAGCGACCTAAGCTTCGCATACCACTAGTACAGTGCTAGAGAGGCTAGGATAACAGCAGCGCTGCATATAGATAGACCCTATATACTACTAGTAAGGCGCTAGAGGGGCCTAAAAACGTGCGACAGCAGCGACAGCGCGCAGATAGTCCCTACATACTACTAGTAAGGTGCCAGAGGGGTCATAACAAAACGCGCCGTCAACGCCTGCGAGGAGCGACAGTAGCGCTAGGGGCAAGGCGCGAGGGGGGAGGGAGAGCGTAGCGGACAACTATACAGGACAGGAGGCAGTACCTACACACAAGGGAGACATCACTAGTAGAGGCAAGCGTGACAGGGTGGGCGGTCAAGGCTAGAGGACAACAGCAACCTACTAGCGCAGGCGTTACGCCTGCGCTTGCCTAGGGACGCACATACGGCACATTAGCAAAAGGTGTTTTCCCCCCAGTACAGGCAAGCCTTTAGGAGCTGCTTCTATGACTAGCTAACAGGGGTTTTTTTGTTTACCTAGTGTAAATAGTAGCAATAGTCTACATAAGCCAATAGGGCTTGCATTAGACAGTAAACAAGAATTAATAATAATAATAATAATAGTTACACTTGCTATACTAACCTAATTAAATATATACCTAACATTCTAGTTTTGCTTTATAATAGTTTTAACAAGCTATAGGCATAACGTTACTAAAGGTATTAATAAAAGTAGCAAGGTTAAGACAACGTTATATGCTGTTAGTTAGAGAGACTTTTAGCATAATAGAAACTTTAAAGACAAAGTCCTAGGAAGGGGGGATAATGTTACGAACTACTAGCGCTAGCTCTACTATAACCTATTGCCTTGAGGGAGTTGCTCTGTTAGAACTAAAGGCAACAATAGAGCAGAGTCGCTAACTAAGCAAGAAGGCTTGGCGCTCCCTACGCTCTCCCTAACATAATAGAGCAAGCAGAGCAAGTTATATGTTAGATGCTCTTAGTGCTCTTACTAATCTTATAGAGCAAGTAGAGCAGGGCAGAGCACTTAACATTATATATCTCTATATCTAGAAGGCAAACTCTCTTTATAGAAGTTTATGTTTAATCTTCTTAGTTATACTTAATATATTAGTTACCTAATTCTTATAGATTATACCCTTAATACTATAAGATTACCTTGCATTGCTAGACCTTATCTTCGCCCTAAGAATTAACTAACAAGACTACTACTTCTACTAACAACTACTAAACCCTTAACTTCTCTTAAGAACTTAAGACCTAGTAGAAGTAGTACTATAACATAGTTATAGAATAGGTTACGTTGTTATACGTAAATTTTGCTTATAGGAGTAGGCTAGCCTATTATGTTTATTTCTTGTTAATATAGGCTCTAAGGTATTACTTTAGCGTTTAGTTTTGCTATTCTGTTTGTCTATTAGTTTATAGGTAGAAGGCTATGCTTAGCTAGCGTTTTACCTTTAAAGTAAAGCAGAAGTCTAACTAGAATTAGCTAGTAAATATACTGCCCTAGTTAGAGACTATGCCCTAAGGGAGGCTAAAGAATTAAACTATTTTAGAGATAAAAATGTTAGCAAAGTCTGCTGCTTAGA